ATATATATATATATATATTATACTGGAAAATTAAAATAATTAAAGTTATTTTAAGAAGCTTCAGATAATTAAGAAGTTACTTAAAAAAGAATTTAACTAATTCTGTATGAAAAGTCATATATCCAAACTATTCCGTCCAGTGGCTTTTGATTTAATGCAAGGAGTGTTTTGAATGAGGAAAGTACTAAAGTACTAAAGCTAAGGGTTTAAAGGAAAAAAATATTTGAGATTCAAAGAAATACATTTAATAATCCTTCTGCGTTTTGAAAAAGTCCTAGTTAAATTTTTTTATTTGTAATAATTTTTAATAGTTACTAAAAAGATAACATACTGAATATACCTAGATATACTAAAAAAATTTAACTTAAAACGAAAGTTTTAATAAATGACGTTTTGCTGTCAGAATTCAAGTATTTATTTTTAGCATACATACGAGCACACACATGTTGAATATTTTTCCTTTTGTTGCTCCGTATTGTCTTTACATCTCTAGGATTTGACAGCTATCGCAGGTTTTTTTCAGTAAAATTTTCTATTTAAAAGACTTCAAAATAAAGATCATACCAAGATTTCCAAAAAGAATAGATATTTTGGTAGGTACATTCCGTTTTCTCAACCTTAACGTCATGTAATTTAATATAATAGTATTAAGTATATTAAGTGTTTCGTCTCAGGAAATAATTAATAGTTTCCTTGTCATTACTATTTCGAATGTTTTGTAAAATTAAAGCTATAAAAAAGTCTTAGAAGCCATTAAAGCCATATTTTCTTTAAAGCCATTGGGCTATTTTTCATCAAACGTTTGATTTTAGTAATCACGAAAAAAATATAACCCATTGATCTAGTAGGCTTTGGTTTTCTGCGTGTTTATATATTTTTTTTTTATCATCATTGAGAATAAGAGGGATTTGTGAAAATGATTTTCAGGGAAAATCTACTTAAACTTGTTTAACTGTGTACTTAATGACAAATACACTAAACTCTACATTTTTAAAATGTTTTATATGTAAGAATATTTTTCATAGTCTTAGAAAATTTATTCAAGTTTTAGAAAAATGCATAGAGTTCTGTTTTTTTGAAAAGGTATTGAATGGGGTTTAATTTAACATACACACTTATAAATTAGTTTGTTTTGTGTGAGGTTTAAGAACTACGTTGCTGTTGTCCTAGTAACTAGAAATTATATTCAGGTCAAGTACTTTTGTATTTTTTTTCGAAATATATATCGTTTATCATCGTTTTTTTAAGAGTACATGTTAAGTTTACTTACATACAATTAATATTATATGCATAATTGCAAATAAATATTTAATTACATATAAGTAGAAATATACAGCTAAAGTATTCTATATTGAGCGGAATTCTATATTGTTTTCATTTAAATTTTTTCTTTAAATTTTTAGCATTTTAACTTTAGTAAATAAATAGGTGTAATTGACATTATATTTTTACAAAAAGCAAAAGTGACACATTTTCTTTCTCTGTTTCAAAATTAAGAAGCCTAGCTCGAGTATTATGTCACATATATTTCATTATTTGAGTTTTGCGGATTTTGTTTAATAATCCAAATATGAAGAATTACACAAATATTCTGCAATTTAAAAAAACTACAAAAAATGCTTAATACATTTATGAGTTTATTTTCTCGTTAGCTCATAAACGAAATATGAAGAAACACTCACAAAAAATATCCTATAATTTGTAACAAATGCTTATCACATTTATGAGTTTACTTTCTAACTCAATCTGTACAATCTGTAAAAAGTGCTTAATGTGATTATCCCATTTATTAGTTTTTCTCCGAAGCTCATAGCTAAAACATGAATTAATACAAACAAAAGAAGGAAAACATTTTGCATTATGTAGAAATGAGTTCATCACATTTAAGAGTTTACTTTCTCTTAAGCTCATAGCAGAAATATGAAGAAACAGAAAAAATGTCCTATACTTTGTAAAAAGTGCCTATCACTTTTAAGAGTTCAATTTCTCCTAAACTCACGACCAATATATGAAGAAATACGTAAAAAAAATCCTATAATTTATAAAAAGTACTTGTCATATTTATGAGTTTACTTTCACCTACGTAATACATTTTTAAGCAAAATTTGTATTTTCTGATATTTTCTAATGCTCCGGTCTCAGGAAATTTATATATATATA